GTTCTAAGAAACTACTATTCTTGCCAGGGAAGATATGGGCTGCTCTGAGATAGGAGGGAACTCAGGCAAGAGACATTTCAAATACCTACAATAAAACAATAAAACCTGACACAAGAAGTGACTAAGAGACTACCATTCTACCAGGTTGAGTCTACCAGGGGCCGAACCAGTTGGAACCAAGATGGCACCAGGAATGACCACTGCCTAGTCATCCGACTTATTACACCCTGACTGTCTGCATCATTGTGCAGGACACTCCCACCTGCAACAGGTACATGATAGTTTACAGCAACCATGACAATGACCTAATAATACCCTAATATGGCCCCAGAATGGGAGGACAGTGGTTCCAGGAGAACCACCACCGCTTTCTCAGGAAAGTCTTAAATAAACTCTCCCTTACTCAGCCTGGGATTAAGCCAGCCCATATAGCCAGATGCCCACCAAAGTTTGGGGCTGCCTTGCCTATGAAGCACCCTTCTATCTTTTGTTTTGGAAAACAGTTTTCCCCTTTCTCCTAGAAGGAGGAAAGAAACTTCACCCATCTCCCTCCTGGGGCCGCTCTATCTATGGAGCAGTCCACTCTACACATTCTCCTTAATAAATCTTAATAAACCTGCTTTTGCTCTCTCAGGGGCTCATTCTTGAATTCTTTCCTGCATGAAGCCAGTGACACTCGCAGGCTGGGTTGAGTCTCCCTGGTGACAACTCTGCCTTTACCCAGAGGGATGAGAGGAAGAGGTGGGCTGCCAGAGTAGGTGCTGTGGGAGAGATTGGGCACAGGCTGCCGCCCTGGAATGCCAGGTCCTTCGCCTCGTCCCTCCAGAAAGAGGCCTCCTCCAGCAGCTTCTCAGAGGCAGCACCAGCTTCAAGAGAGGCCGGTGGTCAGAGGAATCTGGGAAAATCTGCACACACTTTCGTTAATGACCTCGGGACGTGCTGCTTTGTGCCACGACTTACTTCTCTCTTCTCGGTTCCTGTTGTAGGCATATAGCCCGATATGAAGGTGCAGTCCTGAGACAATGGCAGGGCACCTGCCTCCTCATCCCAGCTTATCAGGGGGTCCAACCGGATTCCCTCTGGGGGACCCCTTCCTCTCTCCGGACTCCCAGTGCTGGGAAAGGGAAGCTATACTCATTTTTACTTCTTTATTACCTAAGCTTTCTTCAAAGGACTGTGGAAGGCTACTATATTTCCTCTGCCCATTCCGCATAGGCACACAAGGATTCCCTGGGATGCTTGGGAGGGCAGACTCATCCCTGTGTAGATGCTCATGCCTTCAAAGTCCACACTGGGCATGCGTAACCAGACAAATTCCCTTACTGATGAGAAGTAAGGGCCTCAGAGAGCCTGTGAATTCAAACAAAGGAGCAGCTACGATGAAAGGCCTCCCCTCCTAAGTATTTCTGACAAGACCCCACAATAAAAGTAACATCTAACCCCCTTCACAGCACAGCTGACCTCCAACAAGCTGCCTACCCGCGTGCCTTTCTGGCATGAAGTATATTATATTTTCTGTTAAAAACTTCCCTTTTCCTACTTTTCTCGTGTTTGTGCTTCATTCTGCATCTCAGGGTGTGTCTCTAACCTCATAGTTCTGGCCCAAAGAAGCGAGTATTCACACGATGTGGCTCAGCTCCCCTGTCCCATAGCTTTCCTTTTTATTTTATTTTATTTTTTAAGAGAGATTTTTGCTATAAGGTGCCTGTGCTCACTGCTGGAAAGAGGCAATGAGAGGGAAAGCGAGAAATCACCCCCAGGTGGGATGGCCATGCCACAATCCCTTCTCCTCCATTCTCCTCTCAGGATTTTGGGCACGCATAGGCTCCCGGAATGAATTTCAAGCCACCAGTTCTGGGACTTAAACTGTGGTTGGCCATGTGGGTAGCCAACACCTTATCCACTATGCCACTTACTGGTCCCAGCTTTCTTGCTTGCCTCTCACCAGGCAGTGAGGACCGTCTCCTGCCCTTGTCCTTGCTGGTCACTGCAGGGCAGCCCTGACAGGAAGGTAGAAATGTCCCCACTCCCGGGCTGCAGCTGGGCCATGGTTCTGCCTCTTGCACCAGACATGTCAATTCCAGGATTGCCCCTGGGCCTGAACAACATCCTCACGTGATATGATTTGGGCGACCCCTACTGGTGTCGGTTCTCACTGTGTCCCACGTGGTCCCAGGAGATGACATGCTGCACAGCCCTGCAGTGAGACCGCCCCGCCCCAGTGCCCTGGCTCACCCCCCGTCTCCACCTCTCATTCCACAGCGTGGGTCCCCCATCTGATCTTCATCCTGACTCCCACCAGCCCACTCAGCTCAGCCACCTGCCCTGTGCGCCCTCCTCCAATGCTCGCTCTCCCAGGCCCTTCCCAGGCTGTGCACAGCCACCTCGGCCTGCAGCTGCCTCCCTGCACTGCCCTGTAGCCTCTCCCATCACAAAGGCCTTTCCAGGGCCCTTCTACCCCTCAAACAGGCAGATCTAGCAAGCACTCATCCAGTGCCACCAGTACCCCAGGCCTGTGTGGGCTGGGTTTACTGCTGCCACCAGGAGCTCTGGGAATCCCTCTTCCTCCTACAGGCCCGGATGTCCCAGTTCTTTCCCAATGGCAGGGACCAGAGGGAACCACAGTGTACTTTCCCACGGGGCTATTTTATACAGCGTGAATAATCTTTCACATTAAATAATTAAATGTAATAGCTAATACCACCCTTCCCACACAAGGCTTTATGCAAGTCATATTATTTTTTATCATTCATAGTGACTTTAATGCAGCTCAAGCACCAGGCAGGAAAGAAACCTGTCACAATGTTGCAACAATATGGAAATCCCCGAGTGCAGAGGGTAGGAGGCCCTTCCCACAGCCCATTTGCACCTGTCTGCAGCACATAATGTGGCATCGGCCCCCTGTGGGCACTCCACCAGAAATCGGCCAGCCTCCCAGCCAGGAAACAGGCAGCAGCTCAGGGCTGCACCACGCCCAACCCCACCCCCAGGTTCTGTGCTCCTTGGAGGCAGGGGCAGGGCTGGAGAGCTGCACTGCATCCCCTTACTGGCTCCCTCCCCTCTTTC